GGGGGGGGGAGTACATTAAGCCAAGGGTAATATATAAATTTAAAATAAATTAAATTTATGAATAAAAAAAGAAAACATTGCTAAATCCCTGCCTCCATTAAACATAAAACACATAGTCAGTAGCACATTATAAAAAAGTATAAGTATTACACTTCATGCACAACGTATAGGATTTTAAGGCTTTGGTATCCAAATAGCATTTCGAGTCTTTACAAAAAATAATAAATATAGGTTTAACAGACAAAAAAATGCATTTATGTATAAAAACTTAGCTATAGGAAAATAAATAGATTTATTAGAAAAAAGGCCTACTTGTCTTTTAGATTCTTGTTAGAGTTATGAAAACTAAGTAAGACATCTTTTTAAAAAAATGTCTATAGAAGCACGTACAAACATACAAAATTTCTTCCAAAAGGTAGCTACATGGACTGGACACACTCCCAAAAAAGATGACGGACAGACTCATCGTCCACTCCACAAAAGGAGCAGAGGGCATCAATCTCAGGAAACATTTTTTTTTAAGATAAAGATTGACAGGGTAAAATCGGTGTAGTAACTTAAAATATTATTAAAATATAAATATTATAAATATTAAAATATTATTATTAGTGATTAGATATTTGTTAGGTAGGACCACATTTTCTTCCAAGGAATCTCTTCAAAAGAATTACTCCAATAAGATTACAGAAGAGACAGTAATTGTATCTTTCTGAAAGAGTTGCCTAACAACTCTCTCAAGCCTCGTTCACGCCGCCAGTGTCTCGCAGCCATCATTTTCATACCACAGATGCTAAACATTATTGCAAACTGTCTAAAAGTATATATGCAGACACTCATATGAGGAGTTTTAAATAGCAAATTAGTCATTCAGAGAACTAATTGTATTTTTGAACATGAAAAATTGACCGAGGTCCAGACCTCGGTGACCTCATCGCGGGCTACGGCCATGCAAATATCCGACACGTGCGCACAGAAAGCCAATTTAGTTCTTTTTCGCAGACACAACACACAAAATTATCAAAATGCCCAACTTGTGTTAAACTTTTGTTGTTTGAATAAAGAAGATTAATCTATATTCAATTTATAGTTTATGCATATAACTACAGTTTATAGTTTATGTGATGACTGTTTTAAGTTCATTGAAATTAAAAGTTATATTTTTTTCAAAGCATAATTAAAGGTAAAAATAAATAAATAATGGCTTTCAATTATACTGTAATGTTGAATGATTATAATTAATGGCTAAAATTGAAGGGAAAATGCATTTAATATAGATTTCAGTTGCAGTATTGTATCAATGATACTGGTCTTTATTGACAATAGGCTGCTATAGTAAAATTAACATTCTTTTCAGTTGCAGAGGAAGTTGAGCTTCTCAGCACAGTCTCTGTTCTCCCAATTGTCAGTTTTAGTGTTACGGGCTCCACATTGATAGGGCTGAGTTGGGCACTCTGGCAGTGAAGTCTGAATCCCCAGAGGCTGGTTGCTGACCCAGAACCATTCCCCAACCAGGTAGCGCAGACCTGTCCACACACTTTCTGTCTGAGATTCTCTTGTGCCTCTTTTTGCCAGCTCTAATTGTCTCTCAGTGGTGATGCTGGCCAGATCAGTGTGGTGAGTCCTGCAGTACAGCAGCGCTTCCTCCCATGTCCTCTTCTCTTTAACAAGAATGAAGACCGTCTTGTAGCAGAAAAAAGTATACAACTTAAAACACTCATAGTCAAACCAGTTGTGCCTTAAGGACACACAGTACTGAAATCCATAAAGATTATTGGGCTGACCGGTTTCCCACTTTGAGTAAGAAAACAAATTTCCATCAGACCACAGAAACTGATTAATGTTGGATTTGTTCCTATACAGACCGATCCACTTGTCTAAACTGTTTCCTTCTGCCAGCTGTTTTAGCAAGTCTTGTTCTTCTTGACTTGTGATGGTTGACAAGTCTTCATAATATGTCCTGCAGTAACTCTGAGCATCAGTCCAGTTTTTTTGGGATGGTCAAATAGAAATGCTCTCTAATCAAAGCTTTAGTCAGTCCACAGATGACAATCAGGAGAATGATGGACGCTTTCATCTTTCCAGTGAGGTGTTGAATCAATGTCAGCATGAGGCTCGTGTGGTGACCCTACAAGTGTGATGTGTAATGTGCCCACATTATATAAAATAATTTGAAAGATATACAAAAAAAATTCCAGGAGATGTCTATAGGCACACCCCCAGATAAACTAGAATATGTAAACTCATGTAAATATAAAGTTGTGTAATGTAGAGTGTTTTAGGTGGTTATATCAGTTTAGACCAGCTTCATTCTGGGTTCACAGTGAAAATGGAAAATTTGATATTAAGAACATTTGTAAATGTGTAGGCCTACTTTACAGCAGTAAATGCACATTTAACCATTTTTTTTGGACTAGACATAAAAGGTGCATACAGTAATTGTTTAGCTAGCGTTAACTTTGTCACGGAAACACCAGGCTCTTCCACTCATCAGCGATCCCAATCACCTGAGTTCTGATCACCCGCACCTGACCGTCATTCACTAATTTAGAGTAGATGTCACAGTTACGTCACTTGCAGCTGCGCGTGTAACGGAGGCCAGCGAGTAAGTGCTGTGCAAGGTAAACCTCACTCCCCTGATCTCAAGAGACGCACTAGCGACTGACGCTTCCTTGTTATACTGACTGACGCTTCCTCATTTAGCCTCCTTGTTAGTGCGTCCGCCTCCCATGCCGGAGACCCGGGTTCGAGACCCACTCGGAGCGAGAACGAGGTGCGGCGGAGCCAAGGTAAACCTCACTCCCCTGATCTCAAGAGACGCACTATGAATTAAAATTAGTGGCTGTAGCCATTTAGCCTCCTTGTTAGTGCGTCCGCCTCCCATGCCGGAGACCCGGGTTCGAGACCCACTTGGAGCGAGAACGAGGTGCGGCGGAGCGGACCCGGGAGAGAGGGGTTACACGCGCATAGTGGTTGCAGAAAAACACTGGGAACAAGTGGACATAAATGGGTAAAATCCATGGAATAAAAGAAAAAAATATTTGTGTGCCTTTTGATGTCAAGATCGGAATGCAAATAATTTTTATAGAATACTGTCGTCAAAGACGCCATTTGAAGCTAAACGCAGACGTTTAAATGGACATACTATGGATGAAAACTGTTATGATTACTCTACTTTTAAAGCATAAATTCGATTTAAACAATAGGTCTACATAATATTCACATATGCTGTTCATAGGGGACGTATTGTATTAGCCCTACAGTTACAGCATGAAATATTATTTAACGTTAAACCCTACTACTAACATTTTTACATACCATTTATTTTATCTCACAATTCTGACTTTTTTTCTCGCAAACTTACCTGAACTCTTGTTCCAAGTCTCCCGATCTCCTTCGTCTTCTCACGCACTCCAAAACCTGGTAACAGATTATACCGTCATCAGTATCCTTGCTCAACTAAGTAAAGACTCCTTATCTGCCATATCCTACCTGCTTCTGCTATTTATCTAAATCTGTGCAATAAACCCGTCTGTTTGATTCTAACCTGTCTGTGTCTTGAGTCTGACCACACGCTACAAACTTAGCTATTCTTCATGTACTTAAGTACTGATCACACAATTTTGGCTGACCAGTCGTCAGGTGTGTGCATTGTCTCGATTATCATGAAAGCAGCAACAGCAAATCAAATTGCTAGAGGGCAAAAGAGTGCAAGAAGAGGGCTGTCACACTCACAGACACACCAGGCTCTCTCTCCACTCAACCACAGCGTTCATTCTCACCAGCTACTAATCAAACTGCACCTGCAGCTCATCTCCACAATCATCATCAACACTACAAAAGTACCACTCGGCCTGCACTTTTTGTCTGGACTCCCTTATGGACTCTCAGATGCTCCTTGTTCCTGTAAAGTGTCACAAATATTACCTCTGAAAATCCTTTCAGCGGCTACCGAAGGTCCCCCTCACCTGAATATTAGATCCTGGACTAAATTCCCCAGAACCCACATACCTGGACTGAATGCACCCACACCTGTTCTGCATTTCACAGACTATTTAAGCACTGAGCACGCTAGGCTCAGTACGAAGTCTTGTATTGCTTCTGAGCGTTCGTTTTTCTCTTGTCTTGCCTGGCTTTGACTCTGATTGGACTATCATTACCTTGATCCTTGCTGCCAGCCCTTTTGACTACTGCCTGGTTTGTTTGGATTATTTATTCTGTCTGTTTGCTTCCTGCCCCAATCTCCTGCCTGTTATGAACATGATTATAACCCACGTTTGTTTGTACGCTGTCTCAAATGAGTTAATCTTCATCAAAGTGTTACCTGTTTCATTCCAAGTGTCCAGCGATCTCTTATACTTACTTCCAAGTCTCCTGTGATCTTCAACATTTACCTCCAAACCACCAGCGTTTCCTATAGGATCTCTCAACTGCTCATTATTGTACTGGACTGTTTTTTATTTATTTTTATTTTTTTGAGCACTTCATGGTCAGTTTGATTAACCTGCCTCAGTTTTACTTAGCTGTTCATCCTACCTACCATTACCCATATCTGCTGTGTTGTGTGTACCCCCCTGATGTACACACCTTCCATTGGACTATTTTAATATAATATGCATAATATGCAAGAAAACTTTCATAATCTAATGCAGGCAGACTAATGCAGAAAATGCTTGCAAGTGGCAAAACATGGTTTGCATAGTTTGTTAGCATAGTTAGCTTAGAGTTTAAATAGATCACCAGAAATTAGGGAAATGAGACACAAGTGTGACAGGATCAGAATTCAGGTGAGTGAGACCTCTGGTGTTGTGCGGGGGTAGCAACACCTTCAGCGGGTATAACAGAGCCGGAGGTAACCCAGGATACATTAGAAGGGAGTCATGCCTGTGGATGGTTTACACAGGATGTTTTATGCAAACTCTGCCCAGGGCAAGAAACGGCTCTAGTTGGATTGATGAAGCTGGCAGTATGTTTGCAGTATGCTACCTTGAGAAAGAAGTAAGTCAGCGACCAATAGACCAAGGACATTGAGGAGTTGTCTAATGGTTGCCTAAATAACAGGATGTCCAAAACACAAAGAAGAATCACTCTCCACTCTATAAAAGCTGCCGTGGCTAACAGTTCTCGATTGCCAACATTGTAATTTCTCTCAGCAGCCGAGAGCTTGCGGGCAAAAGATCAATCTCTTCAAATGCGTCACTGGTTCCACTTCAGTTTCTTTATGGCTTCACCAAGAAGATAGTTGAGTGGTGATGCTGCTGAGCTGAAGTTTCTAATAAATCGCCTGTAGAAACTGGAAACACATTTACCTCATTCTAGTCAACTCAACTCATAATCTGTTCCACCTAAACTTATAACCTTATTGTGTGACCTTATAGTACAATTTTGAATGTCTTATTTCTGCATAGTGTCCTCAGGCTTTGATCTCCTATTTTCTGTTGTTTACTGACTTCTGTTTATTGATTATATTTGCTTGAAAGAAGAACCTTATTGACACCATGCATTCTGACTTGTGTCCACTTGACCTGAGAAAGAAGCACAATTCTGCACTCTGCAGATTGTAGCTCTCCTTGTTTAAAGCATTTAGTTTGTTGTTAGCCGCAGTCTTCAAAATCCTCTGGTTTTAGGATTTATGTGACTTCACTTCCACTTCCATTCTTCTCAGTATTGCCTGTGTGCTTGTAGCTACTCAAACAACTGGAAAGTCAACTATGTGGGCACATTAAAAAGAGCAGTGGCGTAGGAAGTGCTTGAGGTGGGCCGGTACACACCGGTACGCAGTACCAGCACTTCAATATTTTAGTCTTTAGTGTTCTGGCACTTTTTCATGCGTTCCAAGCACTTCTGTACTGAGTCAAAGCGTCAGTGTCTGGGTGATTAGAAATTACACTATAAAGCACACTACCCAGGAGGTCATTTGAAACCGGTAAACTTCTGGAAAGTTCAAGGATCCTGTAAGGGAATGCATTGGTAATAACAAGTAATAAGTTTAAAACAGCGCTAATGCAGAGAAAACACAGACAATTTCATCAGAGATGGCGGAGAGAATAGTGACTCACGTCTAGATGGCAGTAAATTATTGTATTCAGCGTGTATTTGGCTTAAAAGCACGAGTGTTTTATAATGAATGCCGGCTGAAGGTGTTTTAGATTATGCACTGGTTAGTGGTTTAGTTATTCTGAATGCGTACGTATAGTAGCATGTACAGTCAGGTTAAGGCAGCAGGTTTAGTGGCATCTCCCTGTGGTCCTGTTTAGTATTGCAGCATTGCAGCTTAACTGGTGCTTATTTATATTAAAAATGCTTAAACAATTTTTCTTTCTTTCTTTCTTTCGGCATTATATGCCTATACATACATTGAGAATTATGAAAATGTATGTATTTATTTATTGAATTATTTATTTTGGGGGGATTGGGGATGTGGGGGGAGTACCGGTGTTCTGCCCGTTTTTGACCCCCTGCCAAATTATTACCCCTCTCGTTGAAATCGCTATCTGATTGCCTAATCCTAACCCCTCCCCCACACCTAACCCTAAACCTACCAATACTAGGGGAGTAATAATCTGGCAGGGGTCAGAATTGGGCTCAACACCGGCACTTCTTTTTTTCCACGTCAAGCACTGGGCATAGACAGAATTTAATTTTTGGTCGGGGTGGGCAAAAGTGAGCGGGCAGTAGTAGACTAACTAACAGACAGAATTGGACTCAATATTCTGGTCATTTCAATCTTCTTTTCTTGATCTTATTGAAAAATAAAGCGTAGAACACAGTGGAAGACACTCATCGTAAAACTGTAGTTATAACCTGTCCACATACAATACCTGAGTTGCAGTTAGAACTCAAATTAAATACTGTTTTATTTATTCCATAACAGAAGTCATTTAAAATGTTATCTGTATATTTTAATTTTTAATTTCACCAGTCTACAGTAAATGTACAACTCTCCCAATATGTTATGCTGCCTACACTGGAAACTCTGACTGCAGAGA